TTTTCTCTAAAGGCCGTCGCACGTCGTCGCCGTTTCAAAATTAAACACCCGTCAATGTCAAACGTTGCGTTACAAGTCGCGTCTATTCGTTAAATTTCGTTTCGGTACATAACGCCCTCCCGTATTATTGTATGCGCTAAAGTTCGCGGTGACGGGCCTCGTTTAAATTCCTTCGAATAATCGCGGTACGAACCCCGCAATAATTACTCGCTGCGGGCCGCGTCAGTGCCTGCCTGCGTCACGACGATAACATTAACCGCGGCATTAAATCGCACAACCGAGAGTTATAGGTTATAAAATTGCGCAGGTACGCGGGAACACTGAAATATTTCTTTCCCGATTCTCCAAATACCTCCGGTTTTTGCCGTGGAACAATTACCCGCATTACACAATGCGCCCCGCAGTAATGGGACGGCGATTATTTTCCGTCTTTGGGAAATCCGGGAGGGTTAAACATTTTAATATAAAACATACGATTCGAATTAAGTCATTAACGTCGCGCGTCGATACTGATGGATAACAAATCGTTTAAACGATTCAGCAGCTTATCGATAAAAAACCGAAAATGCCCGCAGAGTCACCGTACCACGTTGATAAACGTCACTGTACGGACAACGGTCTTCGCTAGAGGCCGTTCTACAACACATTTTTCCGCTTGTTTTACGACTCTCCGATCTGAATTTGTAGACGGTTCGGTCGATTTCGATCGTAAAAATTGTCGATGATCGCCATCGGACGTGTCTGAGAATAACTGCGATGGTAATAATTTTTGATTGACAAAGAATTTTTCTCGTTCTTTTATCTCTAAACTGTAAAAAGGGGATAAAAGTTTTACGTTTTACTTCAGAAATAAAAAAAAAAAACCACGCGATATTGAACGTTTGTTTATATTATTTTATATTTGAAATCGTAAAGCACTGTTATAAATGTGATGCACTTTTTAAAGTAGGTACTCGACCGAATTATTATACTTACCTTATTTTAGAAATCTTCGCGACACAATAGTGACGATGACAATGTTATCAGAACGATAATAAATATCTTTGGAAAAAAAATAAACATCATCTATAACGTATTGTAGACCGAGTTAAATTTTTAGTCGATTTTTTTAATAATAACACATAGTATATATTATATACAGGCTGTCCCACGAATACATACCCTTTGAATATCTCCAGAGATAATAAAGATAAAAAAATTATATTTTTTTACATTACTCACAGAGATGAGGTTTACTCGAAAACATCGGTTTTCACACGGAACTTAAAACGTGTAGAACTTAAAAACTTACTTAGAAACTATTCATCGGATATAAATGTGCGACACATTAAAATGTTCAGAAAAATAAACTATACAGAATGGATATTTTAACATTTTCCGACAATTATAAAATAAAAAGTTATTTTTTAAATTTATTTAATAAAAATAAAAAATTACTTAATTCAAATATACACTGTAGTCGTCATCTCTGTGAGTTATGTAAAAACAACCATAATTTGATTATCTTTATTATCTCCGGAAATATTCAAGGGGTATATCTTCGTGAGACAGCTTGTATATAAATGTATTATATATAGATACAGAGTGATTCATTAAGCGTGGTCACTCTATTTTTTTGTTAAATTTTGCATACATTCTTATATTTGGATTCTGATTTTTGGCATTTTTAAGTATAGTTAAAAACGATATTTTTGAATATTCAGATTTTTCATAACATTTAAGGAGTATCCTGTTGTCGATACCGACTTTGGCTTTTAAAATAAGAACCTATATCAAAAATACCATAAATAGACGGAGTATTATTTTAAATCAATTTTGGCATCAAAATGTTTGATTTCCACCAACCCTTTGACGAGATATTCCACTTTCAAGTTTAGGTAGGGGTAGAGTAGTAGAGTATTGTTTGTGTGGCGGCAAGGTACGCGGTGTTTCATTAGTGCGCCCATTACTCTCCTACAATTTATTGAAAATAATACTTAGTCTATGTACGGAATTTTTTAATATAGGTTCTCATTTGAAAAAACCAAAGTCGGTATCGTCACACGAGACTCCTTAAATGTTGTAAAAAATCTAAATTTTCGAAAATATCGGCTTTAACTACACTTAAAAATTCCAATAATCAGAATTTGAATGTATGCAAAGTTTAATCAAAACAATGGGGTGAGCACAGTTAGTGCATCATTCTGTATATGTCGATGTATTTAATTTAAAAATACAATTATAATCGATTCGTCATCTTATCCGAATCCGTTGTAATTCGCTAAAATAAAAATAAATTGCGAATATGCTGCAGACCGCTGCAGTACTATTATTAATTTACTTCGAGTGTTTATGGTGTTACGACAATCAGCTTTACAAAATAATTGGATATGGTTTTTTTTTTTTTTTTTTTTTAACCGAATGACATTGAAACGCGTCGATTGTGTGAGAAAATGTCTCTACGATTTTAAGATCAAAGGTCACGGTCAACAGTTAATACAATATTATAGAAAAATACGAAATAAAACGCGACGTCGTAAATAATATTTCACACGAAAAACTCTAAAAACGCGATTATTTTTCTTATTGGGCAGACGCCCGCGTATGTTCTGTATGTTATTGCACACCGTAAGTGTAGGATTCGTATCTATTTCGGGCACAAAATTAACGCGATGCCGATTTACTACTATTGTAATAACATTTGACGCAACACGTCCCGGATGGTTCGAAATGATAAAAAAAAATTCACCTTATACGTTTCCCCGCGTGTGTCGCTCTTACGGAGTTGCGTACATTCGAGTTACATTCGATTACTCGACCGGGTTAGCTCTCCGTTGATCGAGCGAACACCACCGCGCGCGTCGTTGTATTTTATATTCACTTATTAGTAAATACTATCAGTGCAGTTTTTTTGCGTAACGATCGAATAGATACTGTTAAGTTCGATAATATTTTAGTGCCCGGTCCGGTATAAGGTCCGCGGACGATACACATACACTTCAGTATGTACATTTCGTTCACACAGTGAATATACACTTCTAATGTTCAATAATGTTCGAAATTTTCAATTTGTCGCTGTACCGAGTTTCGATAAGTCGTATTGTTTTTTGGCTTTTTTTTTTTTTTTCTAAAATTATCGTACTATATTAATATAACTGGTGTTATAATAACGTTAAGTCAACACAATTGTTTTTAGATTTCGGAATATTATGCATCATCGACGAATGAGCACACATTTTACATTTCTGTTATCTAGTTACAATACTATAGTGCGGCACTAGACACAATATCGCCGCGCGTCGTCAATAACAGGCATACACAACAATCGAGCAACGAATATTTGTACAATATTGTAATCTAAAATAGAATAGACTATTTTTAAAAATACAATCGAATCTCGCGATTATCATTGTGTTCTTCGGTCGGCCAAACGGCTGTTGATAATAATGTTTACTAAAGCGAACGTGAAAAACTTATTTTAACTACACGGTGTTATGATGCGCGTTTTTTATTTTTATCTGTGACCAACTTTTCTACCGAAAATCTCACACCGAAGATCAATAACGTCAGTGACGGTGTTACGCGGCGAATGTCGTCTAGTTGCAGGTGTAATGAAAAGAACGCGTTTTGATTTGCATTGGATAGTGTTATTGATAATCTCGAAAATCCGGGGGAAAATGTTAGGGAAATGGGAATAATTAACCGAAACGGTTACTGTAACATTGGATTACGTTTTGCTACTGTTGTTGTTATTCGATTTGAAAAAAAAAAATTAAGACACCTAAACATTTCACCGAACACTCATCCTTTCTAGACGCGTTCAAATTATTTCTTGCCCTTTTTGAAATATTTACGGTCATTTGAGATTTTCGGGTTTCTAATAGTTTTTATTATTTGGATTTACGTGGATACAAATTTGTTTTGCTCTAAAAAATGTTACAATGTGCACATTTTGTCACGATTTTTTTTTTTCCAAGCATTCAATTCAAACTTTAATGAACAATAAAACGAATAAAATTCACAGCATTCAGAACTTCACTCGGAATCTTTTTTCATTAACAACGATTTATCGTTACGTACTAATATAAATTAAATTACTCAGTGTGTTCTACCTTCTCGACTGCCAACCACAGTGACGGTTTTGTCATGGAAAGGGGAGATAAGTATAATTTTTAAAAACTATTATTGTATACATAATTTTTTTTAGATATAAATATTATATGTACATTAATAATATTTTTAAAAATGACGTAAAGACCCTTGACTGGCGTTTTGGATGTAGTTGGTGAAAATTAAGAATAAAATTTAGGAAAATCGAAAAGTCATATTCTTTTACACTTCAATATGATTCTATATTTTTAATCAAATTTTAGAAATATTCCGCTGAAAATGATTTTTTTCGATCATTATTATCACAAAATATATCGTATAATAACACGTGCGTATATAGGTACTAAATTATACGTTTAATGTGATAGCGTTTTATTTATTTGTCTCGTCTCTGTTTTAAATTAATTGTGCGACTATAACTCACCGTCCGTACGAACGAACGCTCGTTTAATTTTATATTCGAGTTCATAGTTTTTGTTGTTTTTTTTTTTTTTTTTTTATGGTGTTCTAGGACAATATATTCTAAAAATAGATTTAGAATACATTAACCAATCGACGAGCATAATAACTACTAATTATTTTGCGTTACACACACATTTGCGTTTTTCAAAATTTGTGCGTCATTTTTTTTAAACGCATTGCGGTCAAAAGACGTTTGCTGTTTTTTAGCGCTTTTTTCGATATAGTTTCTATATAGTTTATAATATAAATCCGGGTCTTAATTATACAATAATGACATGCGAGCTATATATTTTCGTCGGTTTAATCGGTAAGTCGCTCGCATTATGTACATTCGTAAATACACACATTGTATAAGACGCATAAATAATAATAATAAAAATTACGATTTATCGTTCACGGCTTCACGCCCATAATATGACATAATATAAATTATAATAGCATAGTGCAGTTGTGTGTGTGTGTGTGTGTGTGTATGTGATAATATTGAAATAGAAAAAAAAATCAATAACGCCATTATCACACGCACACACACACACACACACGCACACAGATCGATTTTGAACGTGTTTTTTATACATGTATACGTATTTTTTTTATACATATGTATAAATCATTATATCAATAACAATAATAATATATACACATACAGATTAGAGCGTTTTGACGCTCCGGACGAGTTCAAATTTCAACAAGTTTATATTAATATCTCGAAACCCGCAACGGAGTAATAGCGTATTGAGGTGCGAGACGATTTTGCATAGTCGGTATTATAATATTAGTTACGGTATAGATAGTATAGATTAGGTCGTTTTGTTGTGTCTACGCCGAGTTTTACACGTGAACACAGTGGCCGGTATTTACGTCAGAAAAAAAAAATATCCGTGTTCAAACGGTAAAAAAAAACAAAAAACAAATTAGTCGGTTTTTAAAAATATATTTGTTGGTGGTCGGATTTAGATGATTTATGTTTATGAATCATAATAGTAGAGTATGTAAAAATTATAGTCAAATCGGGAGAACTAGACGGGGAATTATTTTTTGGAAATAGTAAAATACTCGGACAGTTCCCCTTCTCCTTCCTGTTATTACAGAAAAGTGAAAGTCCGCGGAAGAAACGAAATTATTTTTCCCCTGCGACCTACCCGACGCGGTTTTGCGTAACAAATCGAGGGTGATTTTCGATTTAGTTCCGACATGAACGAGCGAATGGAAGTGGCTGAAGTGGCCAGAAAAAGCAATTTTGGAATATTTGAGGTTATGTCCAATGATTTTTTATTCGTATCCAGTCTAAAGGGGAGAAAAGTGACATTATACGGATTGGTACGATTATGGAAAAACGAAGACAAATTGTGAATGATCTTTTACAAAATTAGTGGATATGAACTGTACACTGCGCTATTCCCAGTGGAATACATATGAACTATCAGATTCGGCGTTAGTGATTTTGCACGCGCAGGAAAGATAATATTTCGCCATTCCTATACTTATATTGTATAAACCACTAGAATTTTAGCGACGACGAATTATTTAACGGGCAAAACAAAAAGTTATCAATGATTCTGAACCTTTGGACAGTTCATAATTTATTTTACATTTTGAAAGTTCCCCGTCTTCGTAAAAAAATAAATTAGAATAATTTAGGTCAGTGTTTTTCAATTTTTTTAAAATCACCTTTGAAGAGAAAATTATTTTTCAACGCCTTACTCCCCCCATATGTGAAAATCTCGTACTTAAAAGTATGAGGAAGAAGAGGGGTCTGATGAATTATAAAATTTAAAATAACATTGAAATGTCCAAGAAAATAATAAAAATAGTGCACATTAAAAGTGTTTTTTCATTCGTTCACAAATGTAACATATGCAGGGTGTATCTTATGCGAGAACACGCTCAGCGTCTCCCACTGCCAGAACAAATATCCCTTCACTGACTCACAGATGGCGTTGTCGCTCCCATGAGAACCACTCAAGCTAATCTTTAATTACATTTAATACTTAATCAATATTAATCATTTAATTTCTAATTAGATACAAACACAACGTATCATTACCATTCATAACACAAAAACCATTTTATTATAACTTATAATATTTTATAAAATGTAATTGTTGATATATAAATGAATGTCAAAAAAAAAAAATTAAATATAAATTATTTTGAACTAGACATACTTTACACCATGGGTAGCCCACTGATGTAGTTGGCAAATTAAGAAATTGATTAGATAATAGTAGTTAAGTCAATCTAATACTGAAAGCACCAAAATATCATTGCAATTAAAAGTAGATTCTGAGCGGAATAATATTAGAAGTAACAGAAATCACTCAGATTTTTTCCACTTGCAGCCAAGGTAATTAGGTAACCCAGAAATCGATAAAAATAAAACTGATATATCGGCATTTGGTGTCAGGTGTTTTTAATTTTTTGAAAATATTTTTAAAAAATCTATCACTATTTTTCGGGCAATCGAAATTCTTATTATAATTGGTCAATGCTAAAAATCGCTTCGGAATTTTCCTCAAGAAGACGCAACACCATTATCTGCTGTTTCAGTCTAACTAACACATAGCCTAACAAAACGAGGTTACTTAGAACGTAAATTGAGACGTTTAGGTTGCAATTGTAGTTAAAATACAAGTAATACAATTTAAATAAGAGAATATGTTCGTAGGCTGAACGCAGATTTTTCTAAATAGCCATATAAAAAAGTTACAGCCATATTCATTTTTGTTTTTTTCAAATAGCTATAATTTTTTTATGTCAAGGTTTAGTAAAAAAAAACTACGTACAGCCTTTGAAAATATTATCCTCTTTTAATTTTAACATTTTTGTTAAACTCCAATTTCAACCTTATAACGACACAATGTATGTTCTAAGTAACGTAATTTTGTTAATTAACGAGTTAGACTAACGCAGTAAGGCAATAGATACGGGTGTGACGTCCTCTTTTCAGTTTATTTTGCGCGTTATAATAATAAAACATTTTTATATTAATGGTTATACGCACTATATTATTTAATGTAGAGTGCATTATTTTAAGCGACGAAAAGTGCAACACGCGCCCGTCTAATGCACTTTCCCGGTATGCATTTGCGCGTGTGGCCAAGTACATAATATCCGACCTTGACATTTTATAATAATATTATCAAAACGGTGTCCCAAGGAAAAACCGCAGGGAAGTCCTCGTGAGGTCAAAATCTATTGCGTGACGAATTTTCGCGTGGCTTTACCCGGGTGTATACGCGTAGTATTTTAAAATTGTAATCGTATTAACTTTTATTAACTTATAAACTCGATATTCTTGAATAAATAATTCTACAGGGTGTAATTTTATCTGCAGGATTTAAAAATTTCCTATGCAATCAATACAAAATATAGGAAATTTGTGATACATTCCTAATACACGGCCTGTATATAAAAAATAAAACGTAGCCTGGATTATAATATTTGATTGTATACTTACGAGCGGTTTTGATTTAAAATAAACTTCGCACGGGGGTGGGCTACTATTATAAGAGAGAAGTTGGGAAAAAAGAGGGGAAATTTAATGTATGTCTTGCTAACGAAAAGCGATTCTGAACAGAGTTCTGTTAATAGTATTGCTTTATTACATTATAGTAAAATAATTACATATGCGTTGTGTATATTTTCTTTAACAATATCTATTTAATATTGTATTTTTTTTCCCATACCAAATAATTTTTTCCCAAAAAATTACCTCATTAAAATACCACCCCAGAAAAATTCCCTTTCAGTAAAGGTGCTATACTTGATATTTCGAAGCAAGAATTCTGGTAGAATTTTTGTATACAGTATAACGGAAAAAAAAAAAGAAAAAACATCTTTGTAAAACCAATAAATTCTTCGTTAAACTCATAATCTAAAATCATTGTCTTGAAGTATATTTAATCCAAAAAAAAAAAAAATAAATAAATAAACTAATGAACATAAAAACAAATAGACGTTACGGATAAATAACTATACCAGGTTTTTTTTTACCCAGAAAACTTGTACAGTTGTTCTCAAAAGCCACAATATTATTTTAATAAACTATTCGAAAAAAAAAAAATAATATTTGTTTAAATAATTATTAACGGCTTTAATATAAAAATCAGGTTTGAACATTGCGCAGTAACTAGCAGCAGCGACAGCAGTTGCAAGTCCGAGGAATATGCGACGTTTGTTCGTCTCTAGGAATTCGTGAACGACGTAATAAATAACAATACAAAAAATATGTCGTAAAACAAAAATATAAATTAAATTGAATAATAGTATGAATACAACGGGGTTTCGTTACTATACACATTGACGAAAATGAAACTTATAACGAGTCCTGCGAACGTTCACGGGGAAAAAAATAAAAAAAAAAAAAAAACATCTCGCCGACATTATTTTAATGACAACGAGAATAACCCTGACGTATACATTTACTGTCATGAACTATTGTCGAGTTATCAGAGCGATTGTTTGTATATGCATATTGCGTATTAGTTGAGTGTAACTATCGTGAATCGGTGAGACCGATAGTAACTATGTATAACGACACGGGAACAGGTTAGGTCATGTACGTCATGGCGCCAAAGGCGTTTTATTTTACAGGTGTATAACACGTTCAAAAATGTATTTATTGAAATCCACTCTAGTCGACTGGAGCATCATCAATCTTTACTATTCTACATCATTCTATACGGGGTGATTTTTTCATCGTGAACCAGCAATTATCTCGATTTATTACCGTTCCCTACTCCTCCGGTCTAAACTTTAAACTGTTATAACTCATAAACGGTAAATCCGATATATTAGTGTTATGCATACAAATATTTCAAGAAAAAATATTCTCTACTTAAATCTGTGTTAAAAAGGGAGGGAGTTCCTGTTTTAAAATCAAAAGTATGTATTTATTTAGAAAACAAATTCACTTAAAATCCTTTGAGATAATTTATGATAAAAAAAAAAAAAAAACCATTCTGTATAATCGTATGTGAACGCTGTCTCCGTGATATAGTAACGATCGTGATGTGGCCCGGACTTAGAAGTCTATTTTCGAATAGCGTATGCATAATATATATTATAATGAAAGTATCTGCAGCCACACGATTATTGTGTTTGGCGCGGATTCGGTATATAGCATAGGTATATACGATGATGACGACTTTATACGCGTAAGTACGTATATTATTATTGTTGTCAAAATATCACACCAATAACACAGTACACATGCCGATGTTACACACTATATAATATGTTTGTATATCTGTATACACACCAGAAATTACGCGCGCGTGCCGTTTTCGAATGGCAAACGCCCAAAATAATCGCGCGCGCCGTCAAAAGACGACACCATTCGTACATAATAAAAACACGTGTACCGAATTTCCGATACTTATAGATAAAATACGACGCTTGCGAGTCTATATAAAAAAAAAAAAAAAAAAATGTAATTGATCACTACTTACGCTGATAGGATCGACCGAACTACTCCGCAGCAGCAACAATCTTCTATAACAAAATGTTATTGCTTATTAGTAATAATATATATTTTTTTAAA